GAACCATTTTATTAACATGGCAGCGAAGAGTGGTCGTAGCGAAAAAATTTCGGTGTTGCAATCGCTTTCTCTGGATGTGAGCGAACATGATCCTGTCGATGATAAATTAATTGAGAGAGGTGAATTAGGTTAACAACAAAATTTTCCGGGTACGAGCGATCATCGAAGCCATGCCGAGTGCCGACATTTGTTCAAACAGTTTTCGGGGAAAAAAAATTGGCAGACTCAACGCAGAGTGGGAATCGATAATATGCGAAGCCCGAATGAGGAAGGTTGATAGGTCACTTCGAAATCAGCACAACGTTAGGAGACGGAGGTAAGTTATGCCGTACATGACTTCCATGTCATGATTATATGTTGGGACGTTTCATTTACCTTCGTCATCTATTACGTCACCTGACACCAAAATTGGTATATATGAAACTAGTGAAACGGCTGTAAGAAAGCTATGAGCGAAGCATGTAGTCATGTTTTACATGAAACGCATGTCATGATTATCAGGTTTGGACGTGTCATTTACCTTCATCGTCTATTAACTTCCCGCGATACAAAATTTGGTACATGTGGAGCTAGCGAAATGACCGCGAGCGCGTCATGGCGGGCCCAATGGACTCTGACGCAACGTAGAGGCGCGCGCAGGCTTGGCGCAGCGACGCCGCGCTAGCGGAACGTGACCGGCGCAACCAGCGTCTGTCGGCGTGGCTCGCTGCAACCGGTGTGACGTGCGACATGCTGCATTTCGCACCAAAGAGGTTACTTACACGGCACAGCGTCTGCCTCTATCCATGACGGAGGGACGCCGTGTGCCCTAAAACGCGCATGCGTCAAAGCAACACGGCGCGCGCCTGTGAGTATATGGCAGGCGGAATGGAGGTCAGTGGGCAAATCCACTGATCTCTACTAATAGGATATCGGCACCTGGCGTGGAATAGCCGGCATGATGCAATCAAAAGAACGCTGGCGCGCACGCGCACCGGGTCACGTCGAAGAGTAGAGGCGACTTGAGTGTGGCATGTAGTGATGTTCTTACATGACACACGTGTCATGATTATCATGTTTGCGCAAGTCACGTACCCTTGTCATCCATTCGTGTGATATAATACCGAATTTGGCATATGTGAAGGTAGCAAATCAGCCACGAACGCATCACCAGTGTGGGACGTAGTGGTGTTGTTACATGACACGCATATTTGATCATCATGTGTGGACGTGTCATTTACCTATGTCGTCCGGTCGCGTCACGTAATACGGATTTCGGTACATGTGAAGCTAGCGAAGCGGCCGCGAGCGCATCATGAGCGTAGCATGTAGTCATGTTGTTACATGACACGCATCTCATGATTATCATGTTTGCACAACTCCCATACCTTGGACATTCATCCACTTGCCATCATACCAAATTTGGTATATGCAAAGCTAGCGAAACGACCGCGATCACATTATGACTGTGGCATATAGTCATGCTGTTACATGACACGCATGCCATGATTTTTATGTTAGAGTCTGTCGCTTGTGTTCACGATGCAGTCATGTCATAACACAGCAGTTTTGCAACTTGTCATGTGAATAAAACGACGGCAAGAGCAGAGAGATCCCAAATTGTATATTGTGACATTCATGACATACATATCATGATTTTTATGTAACGACTTGTCAGTTATGCTCGTCATACAGTCATGTTATGTCACACCAAGTTTGGTATTGATGTCGCTATCCAAACGGTCACGACAGCTAAAAGTCTTAAGCGGCTAGATAGATAGATAGATAGATAGATAGATAGATAGGCTCAAAGTCGCCGAAGTTCGCCAAGAAATCCTTCGCATATAAAAATGCTCATGAGGCATGAATATCATGTAATGAAGTGTCTCCTAAGAACGATAATAATCTCACTTTTGGGCGCCGGCCCTCGGTCATTTCATCAAGGACATATATGAGGTGTTGTGAAATTATATAAAAAAAATCAAAGTGCATACGTGCTAATATCACAAATAAAAAAATTGCCAGATCCCGCATAAAGCGGGAATTGATGGTTTGCGAAGCACAAATGAGAAATGTTCTTATGTCCGTTTAAAATCAGCCCAACGTTACGAGATTGAAGTAAATGATGCCGTACATGACTTCCGTTTCATGATTCTCAAGTTCGGATGTGTCGTTTATCTTCGTCATGTAATCATGTCACCTGATACCAAATTTAGTTAATATGGAGCTAGCGAAACGGCCATGAGCACGCTATGAGCGTGGTATGTTGTCTTGTTCTTACATGTCACGCGTGTCGGGTGTATCAAGTTTGCACCAGTCATATACTGTCGACCTCCATTGACGTCACGTAACACCAAAGTTGTTGTATGTGGAGCTAACAAAACGGCCGCGAGCGTCTCATGAAGGGTCCAATATACTCCGATGTAGCGTTGACGCGCGTGCACGCTGGACACAGTGATGCTACGTTAGCCAAATGGGAGTACTTTATTGTCTGATGCCAGGTGCGACTAGCGTACGCGCCGCTCCAACGGACGCTGGTCACGCGTCACGCGAAATGGGACATCCTGCATTTCGCGCCGATACTGTCGACAAAAACAACTCCATGACAATGCGTTACCCAGACAACACTGCGTCTCCTTCTTTTCGTGGCGGAGTGAAGCCGGATGCACTAAAACGCGCATGCGTCAATGCAACGCAGCGCAGCGCCCGTCTGCGAGTATATGCCAAGACTGGTGCCTGGCGTGGCAACGCTTGCGTGACGCGACGAAAGGAACGCCGGCGAGTACGCGAGCGGCGTAACGTCGAAATGTATTGGCGCCTTGACTGTCGCATGAAATCATGTTTTCACATGACACGCATCTCAGGACTATCATGTTGGCACCAATTACATACCTTTGTCATCCATTGGCGTCACGTAATACCAAATTCGGCATATGTGAAGCTAGCGAAAAGGCCACGAGCGCATCATCAGTGTGGCATGTAGTGAAGTAGTTACATGACACGCATGTCGTGATTATCATGTTTGGATGTGTCATTTACCGATGTCGTCCGTTCGCGTCACGTAATACCGAGTTTGGTACATGTAAAGCTAGCGAAACGGCCACCAGCGCATCATGAGCGTGGCATGTAGTCATGTTGTTACATGACACGCATCTCACGATTATCATGTTTGCATCAGTCACATACCTTCGTCATCATTCACGTACCGTAATACCAAATTTGGTATATGTGACGCTACCGAAACGACCGCGAGCGCACCATGAACGTGGCATGTAGTCATGTCGCTACATGACACGCATTGATTGATTGATTGATTAAAGCTTTATTTTTGTCCTGAGAAGACGCAGGGGAGACCCCGCGCCACCCGGCAACCCGACGTAAAGACCGTCAAGCCGAGCATGGCGGCCCGTTCACGGGCAGTCTGGACGGCCAGGGTTTGATCCTTAAGTTCGGCGCGGCATGAGAGCACAGCCCACCTGTCCTCGCTGAAGGCAGAGCCGATGGCTTCACATTCCCACAACACATGATTGAATGTGGCTAACAGTCCACAAGCGGGGTAAACCGCAATTGGATACCGTTCAGGGTAGATGGCATGAAGAACCGCAGGGTTAGGATACGCACCGGCTTGCAATAGTCTTAGGGTGACTGCTTGCGCCCTGCACAAGGCAAGGTGTGGGAGAGGAAATACCCTTCTTGACAGATAGAAGTGCTTTGGTATTTCATTCATTGTAAGTAAGGGTTCCCAGCGAGGCAAAGAGACTGCGGAGGCGGCGCGGTCAGTGAGTCCTTGCGCGGCCTCGTGTGCGCCCTTGTTCAGGTTAGATGTAGAGCTTTCAATCAAACCCAGGTGAGCAGGAAACCAAGTGAGAGAATAGGTCGTGATGCTCTTGACGCTTTGTAAAATGGGGAGGGCCTGAGGGGCTACTATCTCGGTTTCGTAGGCTTTGATAGCCGCCTTGGAGTCGCTGTATATTGACTCTCTGCGACTATTTAGCATAGCCAGCGCGATTTCAACCTGTTCGGCTATCATGGGCTTCGATGTGCGTACTGTGGCGGAGCAAGTGAGCCTGGAATTTGAGTCGACGATGGAAACAGCGAATGCGTCTTGTTGGACATATGGCGCAGCATCCACAAAGCTTGCATCAGTGGGGTTGCTACGGACGTGCTCGAGCAGAGCTCTACCCCTGGCCCTACGCCGAGCGACGTTGTGCGCAGGGTGCATATTGCGGGGAATGGGTGCGATGCGCAGCTGAGACCTGATGTTTCTGGGAATCTGCATGGAATCGGGGCACTGGTCAATAGAGTTGAGGCCCAAATTATTGAGTATCTTGCGGCCCGATTTTGTTCCGGAAAGCCTGAGCAGCTGTGAGCGCTCTTGCACCTCGATTATCTCTTCGAGTGTATTGTGAACACCGAGCATGCAAAAGTTTTCAGTGCCAGTGCTTACAGGCATGCCGAGCGCGAGCTTGAAGACATTTCTTATGAGGGAATTGAGCTTACTTCTTTCTGCAACATGCCAAATATACATGGCCGCCGAGTACGAAATGTGGCAGAGCCCAAACACATGTATGATGCAGATGAGATTGTCTTCCTCAATTCCCCGGTGTCTGTTGTGATCCTCCGGATGAGGCTGAGAGCACTTTCCTTCTTGGCAGTGATCCGTCTGAGTGCAGCTCCGTTAGCGTGGTTGGACTCGATATAGATTCCTAATATTCGGAGCGGATCCACTCTGGGCACTGGGGACCCATCACCAGTGAAAAGCCGTATTTCACTTTGAGATGCAGGTTTCCAGTCACGGTGGCCGCCGCCTTGTGGTCTTTTCTTGTAGAAAAGTTCAGATTTTGATGGGGAGCACCTGAGACCGGTGGGACAAAGGAAACGTTCAGTCACGTCGATTGCGCGCTGCATGGCTTCCTCAACTTGACCATCGCTCCCGCCGGTGCACGAAATGGTAATATCATCTGCGTAGATGGTATGATTGATTTCTGGAACCTTCGTGAGTTCCTGGGAGAGCCCAATCATCACGCTGATAGTGTTGATGATATAACTGTGCCCAGAGGCGTGCCGCTTGAACCAAGGTTGATCTCTCGTGAGAAGTACCCTTCGATCTTGAGCTTGGCAGTCCTCGGGCAAACAAAGGATCTCACGAAGTCATAGACCCTCTTCCCTAGCCCCAGGCTGGCAATAGACTGGAAAATGAATTCGTGAGAAACGTTGTCGAAAGCCTTGTCCAGGTCTAATCCAATGATGGCTCTGAATTCCCCTGTGCTGTGGTCGATTATCTGACGCTTTATAAGCTTCCTGGCATCGTGTGTTGAGAGGCCAGCTCTGAAGCCAATCATAATGTGGGTTGAACTCCGGCACGTCGCACCCCGCGTAGTCCGGAAACTATTTGGGTGCAGAGCTATTCGCGCCTCGCAGATACTTGTGTATAAGCATGTTGACAACCAATTCGTCCGGGGTAGAGTCAGTAGCAAGATGAAAGGCTCGCGCGAGGGCTCGCCTCTGGCTAGACCTGGTGCTGACCTCATCGAGAAGGTGTTTAAGAAGACCCCAGCTCTTCCCAGATCTCAGCTGACCCTCGATGCTCTCGCAGAGCTCATGCCATTGTTGTTTACACAACGTTTTTCAGTTCTCCTCGATCGCCCTCTCAACTTCGGAAACCTTGCAGAGCCTCCTGTTATGCTTCTGTCCCTTGCACCTTGTGAGTAGGGCTTGCTTGGCTTCTAGTAGGATGGCCAAGCTGCTGTTCATGTTTTCAACATCGAGGTCAGTGACGACCTCCTTGGTCGCTGCCGTAGCGTCATCTCTGATTGCTTTGTGCCATCCTTCAAAGCCTGTTTCAGCCGTCGGTGCTCTCTCAGATTTGACTTGGCGAAAAACGTCCCAGTCGACCACCCTAATTTTTTTCGTCCTAAAGCGGGCAATCGCGAAGGTTACCTCGATGACGTACTGGTCACTTCCGAGATCTACAGCAGTGTTGACCCACTTGACCCCACCTATATTCTTCACAAAAGTGAGGTCCGGGGTGGTATCCCAGCACGTGGAGTTGCCTCTCCTAGTGGGAAAATCCTTGTCAGTGACAAGTGCCAAGTCGGCTTCTGTCGCAGTCTGCCATAGCTCGCGTCCCTTGGGGGTATCATACATGTATTCGCACACGCTGTATGGGGCGTTGAAATTCCCTACGACGACAAGGGGGTAACTACTGGGCATGCTCACAGTCCTTTTGAGGAAAGAGTTTGCTCTCGCCCTGCGACAACTGGGACTGCAGTATACGTTCAGAATAAAAATGCTACTTCTTCGAAGACCCTTCTTGCGTGAGTTCATTATAATTTCTGTCATTACGTACTCAATGCTATCGGCAACTGCACCCAGGTCACGCAATAGGTAATTGTACCTTTTGCTGATAAGTGTGGCAAGTCCCCTGCCTCCTGAATGAGATGACGCTACTAGGTAATCCTAGACTTTGGGGTGCCAGACGCAAATTCCTGAACAGCGACCAATTCGAGCTTAACATCGTGAGTTCCTAAGTATTGCTGTAGAATGGGCTTTTTGTGAGCGAACGCGCCACAGTTCCATTGCCAGATTCTGAAGTTTCCGTCCACACTATCCGTGTTTAAGCTGAGAGGATGGTTGAGCAGCTATAGCGGCCTAGGCAGCCTACATGAACGGCTGTTTTTAGGGTGGAGACATCTTAATAAGTGTCTTCAAGAAACTCAGCCAAACCAGCGGGCAACGGGGCACGCTGTTGCCAGCTTCCACCAAATTAGCATAGTTTTCTGGGCGCCGCCATTTTGGAGCCAGCCGCCACTCTCTCCAGCTACGCGAAGTACGGCGCAACAAAAAGAAGCCTGGGCTTTTGACAGCAGCGGTTCTCGGGGTCGTGTAAGCGACACAGTTCTCAAAGTGAGCGCACGAAGAAATTCGCAGCCCACACACAAACACTTGCGACATAATACTGAGGTTACGCTGACACGAACGCAAGCGTGGCAACAGCTCAGATCAGCGAGCGCGTCTCCGTACAAACGCGCGGACGCGTCCCGTTTGCGGGCTTCCTACTCGCAATGCGTGGACGCAGCAACGACAACTTCGGTTATCTACTCATTCGCGAACACCTCGAAACTTATATACGAGTGCCGCAGGAAAAAAAATTGCCCGCAGCTTCCCTCGGGGGAACACTGAGGAGGATGCGGAGCATATAATTGGTTAACGGGGTGTTAAAGTGCGACTTACTTGGGTCGATGGCTAAATTGGTTAACGTGGTTGTGAAATGGGGTGTTAAATTGCGACTTACTTGGGTCGATGGCTAAATTGGTTAACGTGGTTGTAGGAGGGGGTGTTAAATGAGTGAACACGTACACACGTATGCGAAAGGGCGGCGCTGGTCGAAGGGACGTCGATCATTGTGTTTGTGGATTCGTTGGAATTCATTTCACCGGAACCTTGGACGTCGACGCGCGGTACAAACCAACCGACGAGCGGCAACTGAGCGAGCGAGCGCCGACCTTGAGTATATATACAGCGCGACGGCGCATGCACTGTCAGCTGTTGAATGTTCTCGAAGCGCGATGGCGCATGCGCGTCCACTAGAGAATCAGGAGGATTGTAGAATGTTCTCGAAGGGGAGAAGCGCGCGCGGCACAGATGGTGGGTGACGGTGCATGCACGCGTCAGCTGTCGAATGTTCGAGAAGGGGGAGAAGCGCAACGGCGCATGCGCGCGCGTCAGCTGCCGATGTTCTCGAAGCGCGACGGCGCATGCGCTCGCGTCAGCTGCCGATGTTCTCGAAGCGTGACGGCGCATGCGCGCTACATTATACAGCTAGCGAATGTTCGTGAAGAGGAGAAGCGCACGCGGTGTGTAGAGGAGGAAGGGTGCACAGATGGTGGAGGAGTGAAGCGCGCGCGGTGTGTAGAGAAGGAAGGGATGCACAGATGGTGGAAGAAGGAGGAGGAAGCTTGCGGACGGCGCCGCACTACAAGCCTCGAGTATTAGATGCTCCGCATCTAAAACAGTGAACGAAATAAGCAGCACTCACAGAGCAAATACGAGATGCACTGGTGGGCTCCCAGCCGTCTCGCTTCACTTGAGCCAGCCATAGTTGTCGTCGGCCAGGGCTCGCTGGGAAGCGGAACATTCGCACCCCCTTTCTGTTGTGGTTAGTGCAGAGCGGTACGCAACTCTGCACTAACGCGTTTAGTTAGGTAAACCCGTACCGCAGAGCGGTACGCGTTCAACACGCTACCGCAACGTTTGACGCCGTATTATTGGGAACTAAACACAACCGGGCGTAGACGCAGTGCGGGCACCAAGATGGGGCGACAGCGCGGCGTTGCTGTCAGGCAACATTGTGTTTTGGCGGGCGGCGGCATGTAGTGGGTCAAAGGCTGACATCGCCCTAAAAGCGGCCGTTCATGTAGGCTCCCTATAGCGGCCCGGAGGATCGCGCCCTCAGTCGGTGGCGCCAGTACATCATGTTGTGCTGAGACCTGCAAAGGAGTCGGACCGGGGTCTGTCCTCACATCGATTTCTTCCAACTGGCTTATGCGTTCACTCAGTGTTCTTAATCCCATCGTGGGGTGCGCCAGGGATTCTTGAATTTGAGCTAAGGCAGCCTGCATGTTGACGAAGGAAACCTTGAGTTCCGAGAGTAAGTATACCGCCTCTTCTTCTTGTGTGTTCTCAACCGCTTGGCGCTTGGTTCGGCTAGACCTGTGAAGTGCCTCAGACGTATCCATGGCGACCGCGGTTGGAGCCAGCTGTGCCGAAGGCGGCGAAGACGCGAGCTTTCTAATCTCCGCCATCTCCGCAGCTAGCCTGCTCATTTCTTGCTTAAGCTGCGCGTTTTCTTTCCTCAGCTGCTCGTTAGCTCGTCGCATCTCGCCGAACTCACTCGCTTGTGGAGAACCGCGATTTGATTCGTCGCCTCTAGGAGACTCACGTCTTCCTCGAGCCTCGTCGGCCCAGGAGAGCGTCGGCTTCTTGCTGTTAGAGGTGGTGGGCATGCGGGAGCGGAACCTGGTCGGCCTCGATGAAACGTGCCCCGGCCTTGAGGTGGAGCGAGGCTGAGAATTTGAACTTCCCCGGGCACGTTCTGTCGACCTGGAGCGTGAACCGGAACATCTCCTGGAGGCACCACGGTGCCTGGATCCGGAGCGGCCTCCCGTGCGTCTCCTGGAGCGGGCGCGCCCTCTGCGCTGAGCATCCGTGGTGGGTGACGGAGACTGTAACTCGTCCGCAGGGTCGAAGTGACGTTGCGGGGACGGTTACGCAGCACTAGTCATTATGGCACGCTCACTGCGACGACGGCGCACAATGTACGGGATCTTGAACCTTTGAGCACAGTCTTTGCTAGCCGTGAGATGCTGGCCACCAGAGAGGTTGCACTTGGGAGTACACACATTTTGCTTGTTGGGCACCACAACCTACGCAAATTGTGTCACCGGGAGTGGGGCACACGTCAGCGCGAGGACCAAGACGGCTGCATGCGTAACACACGTCAATTTCCTTGCGGTAGAGTAAGCACTGTATCAGCAATTGTTCATACCTGACAAAGTTCGGTACACGATACCCGTAGAAAGCGATGATGACCGTGCCAGTTTGGGCTATTCTTTTGGCTGCTATTATTTGTGTTGACAATCTTCGCATCAATGACGTCAGGTCCGTCTTGAAGCAGGACGTTGCGAATCACCCCTTTGCAAGTGGAGTGTGGGGCAGTCTCACAGGCACTTAACTCGTGCACCTTGCCCGAAATGAGTATTTGCTTCATCCGAACGTGTCGGTCTGCGTTTTCGCGCTGGGGAGTATTGGCCACCACAATATTTTGCTGCAGATTCGGGTACAGAGTATCATGGCAGACATCTTCCTGGCTTATGCCAGCGGAAGCTAGTATTGCGTCTCCCACCGTAGCTGCGCCAATTTTTGAGAGATTGAGTCCATTTCTCGGCCGGATCACAATTTCTTGTCATCTTGAGGAAGTGAGGGCATCTTTCCCACCCGTATTACCTTGCACTTCAGCGTAGCGTCACTCGACTTGCCGCGCCGTGCGCCCGGCTGCGACGATGGCGCGTTAGAGTCAGCACTGCGTGTTTTGGCACTAGCTCTTCTGACCCAGCGGACTGCCAACCTTGAGTAAACTCTTCTTCTGGAATATGCTCTCCGGGTACTTCATACTCCACCGTGAGCAAATAATTCCGCGCACCGGGCCTCCGAAGGGCCGGCTGAAGGCAAGAGCAAGCCCAGCAAGAGCGCGGTCTCCCAAGCCACTCGTTAGGGTTAAAGAGGGCACCGCTCCACAGTAAAAGAAATTGTTCCTAACTTGACAAAAACTCACTCACTGTGG